ACTTCAGAAGTAATAAGAAGAGAACGTTTTGAGAAATCGCGACCCTCATCATGACTGAATCTGGCCTGCAAGAACCCTACCATACAGACTGCAATAACCCTACCATACACACAGAGTGTTACCCAACCTACAGATTACTAAAAGCTTTCAGGCCAACACGCGGCCTCCAAAAACAATTTGGCTGCCCGTTTCTTATTTTACGCGAGCAGGGGGCCGGGTCTACTACTGCCCCTCACAACTTTTTTTTTTTTTTTTGACACCCATTTTTGGAGGTGCGCCGCATGCAGTGCGCGCGCGTCGTGCGGGATGGCGCACGTGCGCAGTGCAGCGCATCGCGATGCGCTGCAAGTATGTTTTTCTTCTTTCCTTTTTTTTTAGCGCAGATGGTCCAGTTGGATTGTAGTTGGGGGCCGGGGGGGCAGGGTGGGAGAAGCAGAAAGGGCCAGCAACCAACGCCTCGAATCAATCAATCAATCCCGACATATGCCCCCCAACACCCTTGTGAGGAACTGCCTCTCCCTAACCGCCGCAACAATTGCAATCCTTTGCTGTATCTCTGTCAAAACAGAGTATATGAAGATGGATATGCCAGATCTTCTCCATTTCTCCTGCGTCCAGGAGAGTGGACAAACGAAAAGGGAGAGACAGAGAGAGTGAGAGAAAGGAGAGGGGAGAGGGGACAGGGGAGAGGGGAGAGGGGAGAGGGGAGAGGGGATGTAAAGAGGGAAGAGCAGGGAGCGGGGAAGGGGGAGGGGGGATGGGAGAGGGGAGAGGGGACACGGAACAGGGAACAAGGGGAGACAGGAGAGCGGAGAGGGGAGACGGGAGATGGGGGTTAAGCAAGACGAGGAGATGAGGAGAGGGGTGGGAGAGGGGCAGACGGGGTGAAGAGAAGAGGAGCCAAGAGGAGCCGTTGAGTTAGGGGCAAAGGGGGGAAGAGACAGAACGTCAATGGGGGTGAACAGAAGAAGAGGGGGGAGGGGGGAGGTTGCAGGGGGGAAAGAGGGAGGGACGGAGAGGGAGACGGGGGGAAAAGAAGGGAAGAAGGAGAGGGGAATGAGGTAAATCAATTAGTGCAGTACAAACAGGAAGAAAGGCGCACCAATGTATGCACTCTGTTTGGTAATTACTCTCACAACTCCGCCGGCCAGTATTCAGATGCAATGTACAGTGAATTGTATTTTGGAAAAAGAGGAAATTTGGATTAGGAAAAGGATAGCTTGAGAGGAAAAAGGGGGGGGGGGGGGGGGGCGCTAAGGAGGGCGATAAGGAGCACAAAAAGAAGGGAGGGGGAAGGTAATTGCTAAAAAATAATTGATTTGTAAAAAAACAGAGAAAAACATCCCAACTGCTGTCAACTTGATTTAGCATGCTAGCCTTTCTAGTTTTACAAGGAAAAACAAAAAAAAAACAGAGATTTGGAGTTTATTATACAGTAAAGATAGAAATGCAGAGGAATCAGATCAAGAAAACTGAAGCCAACAAAGAAAAGAAGGAAACAAGAGGAGACTCAAGCTAACGAAGAAAGAGCATGGGCAGGTAAGAAGACGTGTGTATGGGGGGGGGGGGGGGGGTACAATTGGATCATTGTTGCTTTCCCCGACAGTTGGCGGCCCTTGACTGGTCCGCTGCCGACCCGCCAATGGATCAGCTGGTCGGCACCTACCAGTCGGGGGTCATCGGCACACCGCAAACAAAAAAAAAAGCATATGTATATATATCGTCAAATAGAACTGCCCGGTAAACCGTAGGCCGAGAGGGAGAAGAGGACAACAAACGAGGGGCTATATATATATAGTCAAACAGAGATGCCCAGTAAACCGTAGGCAGAGAGGGAGAAGAGGACAACAAACGAGGGGCTGTGGCAAACTGTTTTATAAATATATATATATCGTCATATATATCGTCATATATATCGTCATATATATATCGTCATACATACGAAACGGTATTCACCAGTTCGAAGTAGCTGATGTAGGACCCAGGGTTCGATCCCTAGTTCCCCAACTTACCTGTGTACAATATCTGTGACAA